AGCTGTTAGATATCAGTTCGATAGCGGTTTGATATCAGTCTGATAGCTGTTTATAGCTGTTAAATATCAGTCCGATAGCTGTTTACAGCGTACCGATGACTGTTTATAGTGGTTTTGATAGCAGTTCGATATTGGTTCGATAGCAGTTTGACAGTCATTCGATAGCCGTTCGATAGCAGTTTGATAGAGGTTTGATAGCTGTTTATAGCTGTTAAATATCAGTCTGATAGCTGTTTGATGGCGGTTTGATATAAGTCTAATTGCGCTTCAATGCGAAGAACGAATAAAAGAAATGCTGAAGTAGTGTAATCTTTCGTGCGCGAGATATACCTTCGACCGAGGCATTGTACTTTCGTCGCTGATATAAAACGTTAGTGATGTAAATATGACAGATAAATGCTGAAGTTTCTCCATGGAATCTCGAATGTGAGATATACTTTTCAGCTGAGGTATAACCTTTTGCACGTGGTACTGTACATGGACGGAGGATTCTTTTTCATAATGATATCACTATGTCACGTACATTTTTACTATAAATTCTCGCACAGCCTCAGCGGTCAATTAATCTGCTTGTCTGCGAGAGAGTTGCTCAATCTATCAATCCGATTTGGAAGAAATAAAATGGAGGACATCAATGACCTTGTAGACGCTGGTGAAATTATCCGTATAAACGCGGATATATTATGAGAAAGTGCGGCTTGTTTATACGACAGTATAAGTACTATTTTAAATTCAGTTGTGGATATAATTGAGAGCACCCCAAATTCCTTGGATGTAACTTTTACGCTTACAAATAAGGATTGTATAATGGCTAAATGGTAGGTATTATATTAATTTTATTGATACAAATATATTCGTATGTTCGTGTTGGGATCATGTGTTGTCCGTTTACGTGAGTGTTATCATGTGTTAAGATTCCGACATTTACTCGGAGCACAGAGATCGTTTAATTCGCATTTGTCAGATTATTAATCTCGTGAATATGTAATTGTTTCAGTAAAACAATTTTGGAACTTCTTAAGAGTTGTCGTACACTGATGGAGGGAATGATAAATATTGTACAACCAATCCAGGAAGATATTCCAACTTTAGGTAAAAGAATGAGTGGGGAAAAATATAATCGTGGTGATAATAATGGTGATGATGGATCTACCGGAGGTCGCTCATAAAAATACAGGTGAATTATACATTTTGATTTCGATGCTTACTCGTATCAAAGAGAAAGTCAAATTTTGTATACCGTCTTTTACAGTGCATCTTCAAACAACTAGTTTAAATGTGATCTGAAATACCATGGCTTTATATCTATTATACGTAATCCAAACTTCTACATTTTTGCATTGGTGTATATGATGATTGATATAATGAACTGTATTAAAAGCATATAAATCTAGAGAGTTTAGAAGAGAAACATTAAACTAATTTAGTTATTATTAATGTGCATGTTGTTATTTTGACGCTTATAACTTGTTGGGTATATAATACTCGTCTTTGACATAAATAAGCCTTTTAACTATTAACCTTTTAACTTTTAATTCTTTCTAATCGCTATTGTATTTTAGTTCTATTTAATAAAAATAATTGCATATTTTATATTGCTCAGTGTTCAAAATTACTGTTTCCCATACTCCTTCCATTCCATATCTCTGCGGTATCGCGTTACACCGCGCTCTTGTTAAAATAGAATAAGAAATTATTTCTATTAGAGTATACTTTTAGAAAAAAAAACTTCAAATTATTTTGCTATAAACCATACATATATATAAATCTTTGCGTGCGAAATGTAGTATAAGGGGAAGAAGAAAATGTCTACATTTATGAGGAAGAGAGAGAGAGACGGTAAGTATACATGGTAATTATAGCGCGCGATGGGG